TTAAGAACAGTGACAAGATGGGTTCATTCAGAGAAACAAAACAGTGCTCTCGAAGTAAGTGTGAACTCTGTGTTGATCATCATTATATTAATTTCACAGTTTTTGCCTTCATTACCAGGAGTTTATCTTTCTTTCTCAGCTGGAAATGCAGGACTGATACTGGTCCCCTGCTGGATGTCAGTGTTCACCCTGACCGCTGCAGTCTGTCTACTGAGGCTCTAGATGGACAGAACAATAATGTCACAACACTGCCTTCACTTCAGTCCTTTCACAAACATGTACAGCTCAACTCAATACTGGAACTAACTCTTTTAAATAATCTCTTTTTGCCATTTCACACCTTTATTCTTGACAGAAACTAATGTGATCGCATTTCACAGATGTTTCTGCTCTGTTCTTGGTGGAGTTTCGGTGGGATTAATGAATGTGTATTTGTTGTAAATTCCTGAAAAAGCTAACTTAATACTGTATTATACTCTTTCTCTGTAACTCTGATTTCTGTTTGGTGTATATTTTGAATGACGCAATCAGTGTGAATACAAAACAGCTCTCCTTTTTAATGCAACTTGACTCTGTAATTTGTTATGTGACTGGGTGACACGATGATGTAGGACTTTATCATTTTCTTTGGACATTGTGTACTTTTGTCTTGGATCTATTCATTCATCCATCTACACATCTATACAATATACAAAGAAATCTAAGAAATAATAAATATATTTTATTATTACATAATCACACACATTTAAACGTAGATCTATCTATCTATCTATCTATCTATCTATCTATCTATCTATCTATCTATCTATCTATCTATCTATCTATCTATCTATCTATCTATCTATCTATCTATCTACACTCAACGGCCACTTTAGTAGGTACACCTTTCTAGTACTTTTGTGTTGGACCACCTTTTGCCTTCTGAGCTCCCCTAATCCTTCGTGGCATAGATTCAACAAGGTACTGTAAATATTGCTCAGAGATTTTGGTCCTCCTTCCATTACATCCCAAAGGTACTCTATTGGATTGAGATCTGGTGACTGTGGAGGCAATTTGAGTACACTGAACTCATTGTCATGTTCAAGAAACCAGTCTGAGATGATTCATACTTTATGACATGGTGCGTTATCCTGCTGGAAGAAGCCATCAAAAGATGGGTACACTGTGGTAATACAGGGATGCACATGGTCAGCAACAATACTCAGGTAGGCTGTGGCGTTGACACGATGCTCAATTGGTACTAATGGGCTCAAAGTGTGCCAAGAAAATATCCCCCACACCATTACACCACCAGCAGCCTGAACCATTGATAAAAAGTAGGATGAATCTATGCTTTCATGTTGTTGACACCTAATTCTGACCCTACAATCTGAATGTTGCAGCAGAAATCAAGACTCATCAGAGCAGGCAACATTTTCCCTACCTTTTTTGTCCAATTTTGGTGAGCCTGTGTGAATTGTAGCCTCAGTTTCCTGTTCTTAGCTGACAGGAGTGGCACTAGGTGTGGTCTTCTGCTGCTGTGCCCATCATCCTGGGTTGGATGTGTTGTACGTTCAGAGATGCTATTCTGCATACATTGGTTGTAACGAGTGGTTATTTGAGTTACTGTTGCCTTTCTATCAGCTCAAACCAGTCTGGCCATTCTTCTCTGACCTCTGGCATCAGCAAGGCATTTGTGCCGACAGAACTGCCGCTCACTGGATGTTTTCTCTTTTTCGGACCACTCTCTGTAAAGCCTAAAGACAGTTGTGCGTGAAAATCCCAGTAGATCAGCAGCTTCAGAAATACTCAGACCAGATGTCTGGAACCAACAACTATGCCACATCACAAAGTCACTTAAATTACCTTTCTTCCTTATGCTGATGCTCCGTTTGAACTACAGTAGATCGTCTTGACCATGTCTACATGCATTGAGTTGCTGGCATGTGATTGGCTGGTTGGAAATTTGTGTTAACAAGCAGTTTGACAGCTGTACCTAATGAAGTGGTGAGTCTGTCTATCTATCTATCTATCTATCTATCTATCTATCTATCTATCTATCTATCTATCTATCTATCTATCTATCTATCTATCTATCTATCTATCTATCTATCTATCTATCCACACACATTCGTTTTCTTTTCAGCTTAGTCCCTTTATTAATTTGGGGTCGCCACAGCGGAATGAATATGATTATTCATATGATTTTACGCAGAGGATACCACATGTCTTTGGCCTGTAGGGGAAACCGGAGCACCCGGAGGAAACCACGAAGGAAACTTACGTGAACATGGGGTCAACATGTAAACTCCACACAGCTGGGGTTCGAACCAGTGAACTTCTTGCTGTGAGGCAATAGTGCTACCTACTGCACTACCATGCTGCCCCAACATACATACATATAAGCATTATATAAACTATTTATTTATTTAATTATTTATTTATTTATTTATTTATATGTCAAAATAAGCCTTGTATATCAGGTTTAATTGAAGCTTTATAGAGTGCCAGTTCTGACTAAATATCATTTATCATACAGCCTAAATAAATATACAACAAAAAAAGCAAATTCAAACAAATATATAAGTAACTGTACAGAGATGTAAATAAATATAATAAAAAATAGCATGTATAAATATATTAATAAAATTTAAAATAAAATAAAAATAATGAATTGTAATATATAAAATGTCAGATTGCATTTTATGCTGTTTACATTAGTATATCAAAAATAAATCAATCAGAAATAATAATAATAATAATATTACTTTTCTAGTACTTACAATTTTCAACATCCAATGACTGTTTAAAACAGATCCAGACTCCAGCAGAAGTTGGCGTGGGGGTTGTTCCTAGAAGAGATACAGCTGCGGCCAGACGTTAGCGAGAAATATTTGTATTATTTATCTAATATTTTTATTTAATAATTGTATTTTAATAACGTTTTCCCCTACCGCAACCCTCGCAGTAATGTACAAATATGAATTAATTTTGTACGGTGTCAGAAAAAACATAATATTGACGTGAGCATCCGCACCTGTATCCCATCTAAACTTACAAGTGGGCAGGTCCCGCGGGTGCCATGTGACTGGAAGAGACAGCTGTCAGGTGACTGTGCACGTCATCACTGTAATGGCAGCCTCCGTCGCACACTAAACACAAGGAACAGCAGACTTTTAACTAATAATTGACACTTTGGCACTGGCTTCTCCAAGGTAAATGATGAACTGTTTGTTGTCAGTCAGTCGTTATATGCAGATTATGTTCCAAAATCAGCAATTGCTTCAGCAGCGTGAGACGAACCCGTTTGTTATTGTTGTTGTCGTTTGAATAACACGCGTGTATTTTATGTATAAAAAAGCGTTTGCGCGCATCACACAGTCTCTTTCATTTGTAAACAACCACATATGGATGCGTAAACACATATAAAACCAAAATGTTTGGGGAATATGTTTATTTTGCAAGCATTGTATTTGTATGAACGGGACGGAGGACTGCCACACCTACCGTAGACAAAACAGTTCAAAAATAAGTATTTTTGTCATGTTTTTAAAAGTAAAGTCCAATAGTGCGTTGTTTTGTCATCCTGCAGTTCACATCTGTCATCTGAAATTAATACTATCTATTTTACTGTGTGGATTGTTTATATTGTTTCACAGTGGAGTCCCGTCTATCCAATCAGGTGACGATATGATAATTTCGCTGACGTGATTGGATGATGTAAGAGTCACCTGAAGATTCCACAGCTCTCTAACTGAAGCGCATGTCATTTGTCAATGAATGAACACGCTGAATGAGATAATCATTCACAAAATACATAGAATAAATTGTAGATACAATGTTTATGCTATACACCAACATCATGTCTATAAATAAGCATGTTTTTTTTAACTCTCTGCGTGTTTTTTTTTATCATAAATTCATGGGTTCATGGGTAATTGACAAGCGCATCTAACACACACACACACACACACACATATATATATATATATATATATATATATATATATATATATATATATATATATATATATGTATGTATACATACATACATACATACACACAAACACACACAGTTAAAGCCAGAATTATTAGCCCCCATTTATTTTTTTCCCCCTATTTTCTGTTTACGGAGAGAATATTTTTCGACACATTTCTAAACATAATTGTTTTAATAACTCATCAAGACAAATATTTTTCAAGACACTTCTATACAGCTTAAAGTGACATTTAAAGGCTTAACTAGGTTAATTAGGTTAACTGTGCAGGTTATGGTAATTAGGCAAGTTATTGTATAATGATAGTTTGTTCTGTAGACTACCGAAAAAAAATATATAGCTTAAAGGGGCTAATAATTTTGACCTAAAATGGTGTTTAAAAAAAACTTAAAAACTGCTTACATTCTTGCCAAAATAAGACTTTCTCCAGAAGAAAAAAATATTATCAGACATAAAATGAAAATTTTCTTGTTCTGTTAAACATCATTTGTGAAATATATATATATTTCTAATAATTTTGACTTCAACTGTGTGTGTGTGTGTGTGTGTGTGTGTGTGTGTGTGTGTGTGTGTGTGTGTGTGTGTGTGTGCGTGCGTGCGTGCGTGCATGTGTGTACATGAATTTACCTAGAATTTTCTGGAGTCCCTACTAGAATTTATTTGTGTAATTAGAATTTTCAAATTTCTGGCAAAATAACATAGTAGCTTATTTCTTTTTCATTTAAAAACTATTGATCCACAATTTAAAATGTTTAAAATTTTTACATTTTAGAAAGTCTAAATAATAATTTAATTATTCACAAATGTAAATATTTACTTAATTAACAACAATGGCAGGAATTTTTATTTGCAAAAAAAAAGTAAGTTTATTGTTAATATTTTGCTCTTTAGTTTTACGTTTGTGAATCGGTTGCTTGTGATCAGTCAGAATATGAAGACGCGGAGAGCAAATGTTTAACTACGGCATAATCATAATTTGAGCACATTGCATAATGGCATAATAATTACCTGAGAGGCAGTCTGTGCAAGGTAAAGGTTAAAAATCTCATATCATTCCAACTTTGAGCTCCACGTTAGCAGTACGATCTCTGCTTTACACAGCAAAAATGACTACAGGTAATACTTTTTTTTTTTTTTAAAGCCTTTTATTTTCACTTTTAGATGCGCTTGCACACACACAAACTTGTAGAATTAAGTTTAGTCATCACTAACTTGCAAGTTAATGTCAGTGATCACACAAAGTGCTAAAAGCTGTCAAGATGTTTTTAAAGATGAGATGTTTTTTATCCAAGTCTGTCACTCAAAAAAGTTTGTTCACATAAATTGCGATTAATATTTAATAAACTCAAATGATGTTTTCTGCAATAAACTACTTATTTAAAATGAGCTAAAACAACATAATTCTGAGTTTTTATATGTTTTATGTTCGGTCCACTTAAATTTGTACAACTTAATAAGTTAACTTAATTACTTAATTCCTTAAAACAAAACAAAAAACAATTGTCTGGAAGCCAGCATTTTATAAAGGGTTCAGAGGAATCGACTTCAATGATAGTTGTTGTATATTAGAGCTGCATAATTAGAGCTAACATAATTTGCAATATTTTTTTTTATCTGCGATATATATATTGCGGTATGAATACCCTTTCACTAGATTACTTGCTTAACTATTTGGAAATAATTAATACTTTTTGATTGATTGGGATGATTCTGTAGGGAAGTACATAAAATATAAGAAACGACCTACATGCATAATTAAATTCAATGAATAAAAAACATAAAAATTATATAAACTGCGTTTTATTTTTAAAAAATTATATACAGTTTTCAAACTGTATTCGGGTATACAGTAGATGAGTAATCAAATGTAAAATAATACGGCATAGTCTTCATTTTATAAACCAATAAAATCAATCATTATTAATTTGTCAAAGTTAAAAAAGGGCACAATTTGTTAGACTTGGATGCTTTTAAACCCCTCTCACAGTCACAGGCCTCAAAAACACTTGTGAAATGCTAAATTATAACCCAGACTAAACATTGCGATGTGACTATTCCAAAGTTTCAGATTGCGATATCGATGCTGAAATGATACATTGTGCAGTCCTATTATATAGCTGATGTATTATACAGTAGTTAACATCTGAAGTGCATCAAAAAAGTTTAAAGTTGACCGAAGAATAGAGCAGGTATTGTATGATATCTACAGTAAAAAGAAAAGTTTTTTATCCACTTCAAATGTTAACTAGTGTATATTACTTGCAATATTACACTGGCTGACCTCTAATTGTGTTTTACTCACCTGTCATTGTTGATGTACCACTGATCACTCTGTTTGTTTCCCAACAGACACAATGTCTCCAAAGATCACGGTGGAGCTGCTCCGGCAGCTCCGGCAGGCCATGAAGAACAGCAAGTACATCACTGAGCCTATCCAGGCCTACATCGTTCCGTCAGGAGACGCACATCAGGTTATTTTACCATGCACTAAAATTTGATGCTTATAAACACATCTCAAAAAAAGGGTGCAGGTTATAACTGGAATCTTGAGATAGGCATTGCAAAAACAGTGTAATAGTTATTTGTGCAATGCAAGCATTCTGTGAGGTGGTCCGACAAAAGTTTCTATTTTTCTGATATTGATGCTAGTGGGGCCTTTTAACATATCTGGGTTTCACTGCAGCAAACGATGTCATTCTTGGGTAAACTTAAGCCACGGTCAGATCACACGATATTTATTGTCAGTTACAAAAGTCACTGTGTCAGATTATGCGTTTTGTTTTTTCTTGATAAGATCTTGACTTGTCGTGGGTAACAAATGTGCCAGACTACACGTTCCTTCACAATCAGTCATCCCATGATGTCTATGACGAGCGTTATTTTCCAAAGCAGTCACAAGTGTTGCTATTTTATCTCAATTTTTTTTTTTTTTTTCTTATTTCAATCTCAATAAACACTGATGCTTGCAGACAACAACTTAGGCCTCTATTTTCACGGTCCATGCGCAAAGCGCAGGGTGCAAACGCTTTCAGGGTGTGTCAGAATCCACTTTTGCTAATTTAAGGATGGAAAAATCCACTTTGGGATTTGCTATTTACATATTGTAAAGTAAGTGGAAAAACTGAGCGTTTTACTAGCAGGAAAACAGTTAAAAAGAGCATCTGCAGCGCGAGAATGAGAGATAAGCCTTCTCATAATCTAGTTTCACTTTCGCTCTCGTGGATAGGGAAACTTCTTGTACGCACAGACATCAATTAGCTTATAAATAATTAATTTAGTTTGTTAAGCGCAAAGAATTGCTTCAAAACTATTTCTAAATTCAGTTCTAATTTCCAGCAAACGAATAAATGAACAACAATAACGAAGTGTGGTCAAAAAACTGAGTTATATCCTAATACACATGCTGTGCCCCATATGGTCTAAATCCTGACAGGTGGACAAATCTAAGCTTGTGTTTAATAAAACAAATATAAATATGGATATAATAAATAATACTGCTAATAATAATAACATTATACGAAAGCAAATTGAATGAACTGAAAAAGCCTTCCGAGATAAAGAAGGCATGAAAGCAGGGGTTTTTAAATTCGTGTAGGCTAGAAAATAATGTTTTGTAATATTTTAATCCTTTATATTTATATCCTATATATATCCTTAATATTTTAATTATTTTTCATATGTAAAGATATTTGCGTATTGCTCTACATCTTGTGTATATTAAGCAGTGTGTAAGCCAGGCGCACTCTGTGCCAGACAATAGACCGGCTTTGTTCTAGTCTAAAGAATAGACTATTATAGTTTCTCAAAATAGCAACACGCCATAACACGGCTGCTTTTGTAGATCAGATTGCCTATGGGCACACATATGAGCGCAAATGCATTTGCTACTTTAACAGCGTGGCGCAAAATGTCAAAACGACTCTTGCACCGAGCTGAAACTAGCAAATAACAATTGCATCGCGCCTTTGCGCCACATTGCACAAGGTGTGTGATAGGGCCCTTAGAGTGCAGTCAATCAAATAGATTTTTAAAAATCCCATTTGCTGGAATAATAAAAGAAGAATACCACAATCATGTTATCAAGACTTTCAGAAAAAGGAAAGAAATAGTGGGAGACTGTGCACAAGAGGTAATTTTTTTTTTTAATTTGAAGCAAAGATGACATAGCACATAGTCTTGTGAAAAGGGTCAATTGTGATATTTAAAGAACAAAATATCTTAATCATGCTAAATAGATCTGTTGCAATATACTGATATTAGCTTCCTTTTACACATAGAATTTTCTGGAAAATTTCTGGTAAATTAGCATGAAGAGATCATGTGTGAACAACAGATCCTTTTTTGAAAATACTTTATACATTTGATTTGGCACTTATGTGCAATGAGAAGTTGTAATATTATTAGTAAATTATTGGAATTCTGCATTAACGTTGATTTCTGGAATCTGGAATTTTGAGTTATGCATGTGATTTTGGCAATATAAAAAAAACAAAAAACGAATGGTACACATACAATGTTTATTCCTTAATTTTCCTTCGACTTACAGCAGAATGAACCACCAACTTATCCAGCATATATTTATGCTATTTACACAGTGGATACACTTCCAGCTATTTACACACACACTAAGGCCAATTTAGTTTATTCAATTCACCTCACCGCATGTTTTTGGTCTGAGAGGGAAACCGGAGCCCCCGGAAGAAACCCATGCGAACATGCAGAGAACATGCAAACTCCACACAGAAATGCCAACTGACACAGCCGAGACTTACACCAGCAACCTTCTTGCTGTGAGCCACCATATTGTCCTCGCATACAATGTTGACACAAAAATAATCCAGAACATTCTGGATTACCACAAATAAAAATTACAGCAAAAATGTGACTAAATATGACTTTCTGGGAAGTTAATTTCATGAACTGATGTTCAGTTAATAATAATAATAATTAACTTTATTTTCTATAGTGCCTCTAAAGGTATGCATCTCAAAGCAATTTTTACTAAAGAAGGTAAATATAAAAAGAAAAAAAGTGTAAAGAAAACATGCGTTATGATTATAATAAAAGGAAAAAAAGGACATCACACATAGGACACAATCACTAAGCCATTTTAAATAATTAAGTTGGGTCAGTTGGTGTTTCTGTGTGTAATTTGCATGTTCTCTCCGTGTTCGGGCGGGTTTCCTCCAGGTGCTCCGGTTTCCCCCACAGCCCAAAGACATGTGTTAAAGGTGAATTGGGTAGGCTAAATTGTCCGTAGTGTATGAGAGTGAATGAGTGTGTATGGATGTTTCCGTGATATGGGTTGCAGCTAAAAAGGGCATCCGTTGCGTAAGACATGTGCTGGATAAGTTGGTGGTTCATTTCGCTGTGGCGACCTTAAATTAATAAAAGCACTAAGCCGAAAAGAAAATGTATGAATGAATGATACTAATCAACAGCTTAGCCCTCATAACCATTCAGAAACTGTAAAATTATATTTTGTTTTGCTAAAATGAAAACAAAGCATGCTTTGGCGTTGTCTTTGTAACCAAGAATGAAGCATAATTTTGCTATTTTTAATAAGTAATTAAATTAGTTGTTTAACTATGATATTTGTAGTAAAGCTGTGGTTAAAGAAATGCTAATCAATACTCCTAAAAAAAAAAAACATGGTTTTGGCTACACATTTAGTAAAATAAAACAAAATGAAAGGTTTCCATTATAGTGTCCTCTTTTAAGTGTGATTGTTTCTTTTATTGACAATAGTGCTATTCAATGGTCACAATCTATTAATAAAAAATTGATTTCTACCAGTATTTACTGAATTTTTTGGCAATGTTTTTAGAGATTTCAAGATAAATTGTTAAAACGCATTAAGGACGTCTCAGAATCCACTTTTGCTATTTTAAGAACGGAAATATCCACTTTGCACTGTAATCAGAGCAATCAGAGTCTCATCTCCCGCTCCCTTTAAGAGTTTGTTGTGCCGCACTATAGGGCATTTGCTATTTACATGCCGGACTTTGTAAGTGGTAAAACTGAACACTTTATTAGAGAGAAAACAGTTAAACTGACCATCTACAGCACGAGAATGAGAGATGAGCCTCCTCATTGTTTACTTTCGATTTCACTCTCGTAAATATGGAAACGTGTTGTACGCACAGACATCCATTAGCCTATAAATAATTAAGTTTAAAAGCAGCATTATCGATGCTGCTTTTATAGCATCGATAATGATTTATAGATGGATTTAAATTTTGTTTAACAACAAAACATCAGTAAATAACACTATTCCACCTAACCTGCTTTATTGAGCTGAAGTTGCTTTTATATTAACATTGTGTCATTTTTGAACAATGAAAGCCTCCCTATACTATTTACCATGCTACTCTGGATATTTACTCAGAAATAGCATGTAAGTGTGGCTAAGTAATAAATTTAATTCCTGCACGGCGCTGGCACTAACTAACTGGCGAATGACATGAACTAGTGAGTTGTCTGTCTGCTGTTGTGACGCTATGCGCGTGCTCTAGATTACAGGGGGTGTGGCTTTGAATCACAGTCCCTCCCCGCCATCCAAAGATGATATGCTAAGCGGTTAGCATTTTGGCAGATCAGCTACTGCACCTTTAAATCTTTTTCATTTGTAAAGATATTTGCGTATTGCTGTTTGGCCTGTGTGTATTAAGCAATGTGTAAGTGAGGCGCTCTGCGCTCTGCGCTGGACAAAAGACCAGATTTGATCTATTGAACAGTCTATTTAAGTTCCTCAAAATCGCAATGTGCCAGCAATGCGCCCCAACACGACTCCTTTTTTGGACCAGAATGCCTATGGGCGCACATGAGTGCAAATGCACTTGCTATTTAAACAATGTGGTGCAAAACGCCAAAACGACTCTTGCACCGAGCTGAAACTAGCAAACAACAATTGCGTTGCGTCTTGTGCCGCATTGCGCCGGGTGTATGATAGGGCCCTCTGTATTTAATCGGTCTATTATGTGAGTGATGGTCTTTCCTGCTGTGACTATGAAATGTCTCCTAATTATGTGTGGTAATCTCGTCTGGTTAAATGAGCAGTAATTAGATCTGATTGCAGATGGACCTTCTGTTTTCTCTTCATCTCTGTGTGTATCCTTCTCTGTAGAGTGAATACATTGCGCCGTGTGACTGTCGGCGGGAGTTCATCTGTGGATTCAACGGATCTGCTGGTGCGTAAAAACAATTAAGATAAAATTTTACACTTTATACACTATATTATATTTTATATTATATATTATGACAATAGTATGACGGTTCATTTGGCTGTAGCGACCCCAGATTAATAAATGGACTAAGCCGAAAAGGAAATGAATGAATAAATGAATGACAAATAGTATTATTTAATTGCATGTTTTACTGGGTCACAATGTATATTTTTTGTGGAATTGCCAAAAAGATCATAAATAGAAATATACAGGAACGATCACATTTATTACAAGATGCGCAAAGCAGACAATATATACGCAGGTTTTTAAAAAAGGTAGTATCTCAAAAAATATATATATTAGTAGATATAAGTGCAACCCAAAACATTACAGTAATTGATCATTTTGAGTAGCTATAATCTGCAAAATATGCAAGTTTCATAAGGTTCACTGGAATTGTTTGCATTTTTTGCTTCCAAAATGGCCGACTGTCGATGCTTCATTGGAAAAATCTATTTATATAATAGCAGTTATACTAATGATAATTTTACTGAACATAAACAAAATGTCCCTGTTTGTTAAATTAAAGTTATGTTCATAGTATGGCTGCACAATATATAAAAAAATTGTCATTATTACGATAATAGTATATGCAATAATCAGCACTGACTGTTTATCCAAATTTGACCAATCAGATGGGGCCTTACTATCTTTATACCTGCCTACTAAATTTTCAAGATCAGAAAAGTTTTTTAGATCAGAAAAATATCCATTATTACCTGTTTATTTAGTATGATCATTAAATAAATAATGCTTTAAATAAAGCTAATAAAAAATGCTTTTCTCGAAGAAAATGTTATATTATAAGAAATATCACTATTGCAATGCTCAACAGCAATATCACATATTTTCCCAGTATCTATACCTCTTTAACCACCTGTAGGGTCCACCCAGTTGGCCCAATGACGTATCCAATGGTGGATGAAGGTTCACTGCATGTTCGGTCTTCCAGTGCACAATGTTGATTTATATTAAACTTAACTCATATCTGACTCCAATTTTAGTATGAGATGGTTTAGAATATTAATATGTTTATCCTCGTTTTATCTGACTCCAATTATAAAACATTGATAAGATTATTTTGTTTCCTTTCACATTATTTTAGATTATGATTGAATATTCTTTTGATTTGTTATTATACCTTATTCTCATTTACTCAGATTCCGATAGCATCTCGAGTCTTGCACCGGCCGGGTATACAATCTCTTAATACAAGCTTGTCAGTCTTGGTCATTAAACAGAGGCGATTAACCACTCTCCTAAAAAGGCAGAACCCTACTTACTCAATTTAGGAGATTTTTATGTGGTCCCCATAGATCTGTTATCTACTTAATCGAGACAAAGTATTTTAATAATAATCGCACAGGATTATAAATTTGTAGATGAAGGCCTAAATATCCACATTTAAAGTAGTTTCAACAATATTTTGTTATTCTAAATAGAAAACCCATAGTTGGCCTTTTGCAGTACGTATACATGAAATAATGCCAATTTGCTAGTCGGATCTCTAACAACATTGTTTAGCGTGCCACGCTGCTCCGTCTAACATGTTTTAGTCCGTTACTAACCTGTACAGTGGCTTGTAGTGCTATAGACAACAACATTTATCAGTGATAATAACACGAGGTTTGAATAATTCAAAACATAACAATTTATTAGTCAGGTAAATGTATTATGCCAATTCAATCAGTCAATTCATAAACGATCAATACAAAACATCAAATTATCAAAGATAAATCCAAGATTAAAAGATGCATTCCTGACTTTTTACATAATGTGTAAATTTTACATAACGTGGAGCCTGGACTCCATGTTATGGGCTGATCTGGGTAAGCAGAATCGCGCTGAGTCTTTCTTAGGCCTTACCTTAAATAATCCAAGAATTCCCTCAAGGAAGGGGGTGTGAACAAAAGGCATTCACACTTAGTGGCACACCCTTCTCAGTGGTTCAAAAGATGCCTGAAGTTATATATTTATTGTTCTGATTATGTCTATTTCTGAGAGAATGAGACCATTGTACCAATCGCACTGAGACATTTCAAATGATATCAAACATGATGGTTAAAGTCAGTTTGGTTAATTCTAGAACATTGAAACATTGAAATGACCATATGCGTGAGTTGGGGGGATGAAGCTGAGTCTCAGCATAGTCAGATGCAAATGCAGCAGGAACTGGTTTTTCCCGCATTCCCCCCTGGTGGGTTGTGAAGTCACCAGTCTCTGTTTTCAGCTCATGTTTTGAATTGTCAAAGATATCAGAATATTTGCAATATTTCAATTCTTACACACCCCACCAAGAAAACTATGTTTGGATAGCATTTCTCAACTCGTAATGTCGCTTGTTAACACATGCAATGCAATTTTTTTCAACACATCCCATAATTTCTGAAAAATCAACCTTTACCAAATGGTTGATTTGCCGGTTTATGGTAAAAGTACCGGACATTATACATTTACTATTAAAAATCTGAAAATCTAAAGTGCAAGACCAATTTATTTATAAAATAATCAAAAATAAATATTTTTGAATGCTAAATCATGTTTATTTTTTTTTAAGTACGTCATAAAATATTTCAAATTCCCATTTAACATTTTTTCTTGTTTTTTGTTTAACAATAAAACCAAAATCAATTACAATCAAGTGTAGTAGTGCAACAAGGTTATGTTTGTTTGATTTTTTTTATTTTGTTTTTGTAAACCAACAATGCTGTGTGTGTAAACCATCATTTTAAACAGTAATTCTTTAAATGACTTTAACAGGCATCATTTAAAACAGTAAAACATTGTCAAGCGGCAGTCAAAGGGATATGCAGATATTTTTAGCGATACATAATTTTCCTAGCCTTACAAAAGGTTATATTTTGTTGGCATCAGTGTAGTCATCAGTGTTGTGTTTGTTTGATTTAGGTACTGCTATAGTCACAGAACAGCACGCGGCTTTATGGACCGACGGCCGATACTTCCTGCAAGCCAGTCAACAGATGGACAACAACTGGACTCTCATGAAAATGGGTACAATCAACGTTAGTCATAGTTTATGATTACCAGCTGCCAGATCAGCTGCTGCAGCTGTTATTAAAATTACTACATACAGAAATGTAAAAAGCATGTCAGCTAAGATATCAAACAGTGTTTTATAGGATATACAGTCGAATTCAGAATTATTAGCCCCCCTAAATTATTTAAAACTGTTTTCATTCTATCCAAAATAAAACAAATAAGACTTTATCCAGAAGAAAAAATATTATCAGCCATACTGCCAAACTTTCCTTGCTCTGTTTAACATCATTTAGGAAATATTTTAAAAAGAAAAAAAAATCAAAGGTAGGCTAATAATTCTGAGTTCAAATGTATATTTCAATTTGTTAGGTTTAATATATAGTTTACTCAGAAATTAAAAAAAGAGTATGCAAACCAGTGACTTCCATTGTAGGAACACTAAATTCTGTGAATATCATTGGCTTCCAATATTTTTCAAAATGTTTCCTTTGTGTTCAACAGAAGAAATAAAAAGTGTGTGTAAAGGATGACAGAATATACATTTTTGGGTGAATTTTCCCCTTGTGTGTAACTCTCTAGTTGTGCTTTTGTTAGTGTAAATGCATGCAGCATTTTTCAAAATAGCTAAATGAATATGAATATTATTATGATTTCTTTTATTGATAAGGACTGAAGGAAACGCCATCGCAGGAGGACTGGCTCATCAGTGTCCTTCCGGAAAACTCCAAAGTCGGAGTCGATCCCTGGATCATTGCTGCTGGTGAGCAATTCAGTAAACTGAGAAGTACAAATGTGGATAAAGTACTTTTTATTTCTATTTGCAGATGCAAACAATTATTTTTTATTTGAGAGGTAACATATTATTTATATATGTCATCAAAATATTTTTAGTTATTACATTTATTTTTTGAATTTTGGATTCCTATTTTATAAACATTACATGGGATAAATGTAATATTATTGTGAATTTAAAATGCTTTTACACATTTACATTAAAATGTTTTCCGAAAACATTTCTAAAGGTGCTGTTGACTTGAAATTTTCACTAGATGACAGTAACAACCAAACTAATTCATAAATACAAAGAAAAGCAAATCAAATTCTTTTAGAATTTTTATTGTGTGATTAAAAAATTAAAGGACACAAAGAAAAATTATTGAACAAGTGAGGGTGGTGTAAGAAGAAGAAAATGAAATCAGATTTTTATTAGTTAAAATCAATACAAAAAGTATATTAATATAATCAGTCTATTATAATATTCCTAATTTAATAATTGATCAAATATTTTTTACATAACGTTTTGACATAAGTTTACGTAAGTTTCAAGTTTTAAATGTAAATGTTTTAGGTAGTCTATTCTAAAGGGAATTACAAAATATAAATGTACTATTACTTCACATATTTCATTCTCAATCCTGTGTTTAGAGCGAGTGAAATCTCATTAATTTTAATAGTTCAGCTTGATATTGTTTTTTTCAGATCAGTGGAAGAACATGTCAAAGGCTCTGAGTGGTGCGGGCCACTCTTTAGTGGCGGTGCAGGACAATCTGATCGACGCCATCTGGGAGGATCGACCTTCTCGACCCAGCACCAAACTCACTGCCCTCGCCCTCAAATACACCGGTCAGACTCATTGACACACACACATGAGTAACACACACCAAGTCTTCCAGTCCCTGACTTTAAGTAAACAAAAAAGATTTTACAATTTCAAGTTGTAAAAAAAAAAAAACACTGCTAAAATTATTTTCTCACTTAGATTTTTAGTTTCTAGTCTAAATAAAAAAATAAAATGAATAAAGAAACAAAAAAATCCAAAATCCAAAATTAAGATAAATTTTCTAGACAAGCAAAAAAAAAAAAAAGTTTCCTTAAAAGGGTGACGGAATTGCGCAGTAGGTAGTACTGTCGCCTTACAGCAAGAAGGTCGCTGGTTCGAGCCTTGGTTGGGTCAGTTGGCATTTCTATGTGAAGTTTGCATGTTCTCCCTGCATTCACGTGGGTTTCCTCTGTGTGCTCTGGTTTACCCCATAGTTCAAACACATGCAATATAGGTGAATTGGCTAGGCTATGTGAATACATTGCGCCGTGTGACTGTCGGCAGGAGTTTATCTGTGGATTCAACGGATCTGCTGGTGTGTAAAAACAATTAAGATAAAATTATACACTTTATACACTATATTATATTTTATATTATATATTATGACAATAGTATGGTGGTTCATTCCACTGAGGTGACCCCCGATTATTAAAGGGACTAAGCCGAAAAGAAAATGAATGAATGAATGTTTCCTTAAAACAAGCAAAATAATTGGTATAAGGAAAATAATCTTATATTAAAATGGCAAAAAATATTATTTTTCTTTCCCCAATTATTTTGCAATGTCCAATTATTATGTTATATATTATAAACTCACTTAATTTTGCTACATTATTTCTCAAAACAAGACTAGAAAATCCATCTTGATTTAAGAATTTCTTGATATTTTGACTAGAAACAAAAAAAAATTGAAGTAAGAAACGCATCGTTTGCAGTGTAGTTCAGATAAAAGCTGATCAAAATGGGGCATTTCCACCTCAAATTGCAGCAGGTCAGGATCACCTATTTAAAGTCCACGTGAAGTCAAACTTTACAATGTTTATTTTGCTAGCGAACATTTTTATTCTAATTACTATTTGTACTATTAATTCACTGAAAAAAATGTTTTGTTAATCATTCTGACCATTTGCTTCTGCTTTTGGAGTGGCCGTCCTTCTTTGTTGACAGCTACAGCCACAGTATTCTCAACCCACGCGCTCTTTCCGTTAGTTTGCTATGAAGGAATGATGCACAGAAAGAAAGCCCAGCCCCTACTCAATATTCAGTTTCAGTTGGAAGTACATTGACACACTTAAATGAAACTTTATGATAATTAGGCTTATAATATCATTTCATTTTAGGATTTTAGATATTACAAATACAATGACATAGTGTTTTATTATTATTATTGTTATTATTATTATTATTATTATTATTATTTTTATTTTAAGCAGATACTTAAATAACAGTAAGTTCATATGATCTGCTGGTTTTGAACATACAGAATAATAATGGAATAGAGTTATGTAAACAAGACTTTGGGCTCTATTTTGACGGTCCATGTGCAAAACGCAGGGCGCAAATGCTTTCAGGGCGTGTCAGGACGCGTTTTTGTTAATTTAAGGACGAGAAATCTGCCTTGCGCTTCGGCGAATGGTCTAAAAGGGTTGAGTTTATTTTCTTATTGAGTTATAGGTGTGTTTTAAGAATAAACCAATTACAGTCTCATCTCCCATTCCCTTTAAGAGTCAGCTGCGTTGCGCCAAGAGCGCATTCGCTATTTACAGGATGCAAAGTAAGTCTAAGTGGAAAAAATGAGCATTTCACAAGCAAACAGTTAACAGTTTTTTAACAGAAAACTGTTAAACAGAGTATCTGCATGCGTGAGAATGAGAGATAATGGATCACTTTCGCTCTTGGATAGGGAAACCTTTACGCACAAACATCAATTAGTCTATAAATAAATACTTTTGTTTGTTAAGCGCAAATATTCGTTTTAAAACTATTTCTAAATTCAGTTATAATTTCCAGCAAACGAATAAATGAATATTAATAGCAAAATGTGCTCAAAAACCTGAGTTATATCCTAAAACACATGCTTTGCCCCATATGGTCTAAAACCTGACAGGTGGGCAAATCTAAGCTTGTTTTTAATAAAACAAATATACATATGGATATATTAAATAATACTGCTAATAATAATAACATTATACAAAAGCAAATTGTTATGAATGAACTGAAAAAAACCTCCCGAGATGAAGAAGACATAAAAGCAGTGGTTTTTCATATTTATGTAGGCTAGAAAATAATGTTTTGTAATATTTTAATCCTTTATATTTATATTCTATATCTATTCTTATTATATCCTATATATATATCCTTAATATTTACATTTTTTCATATGTAAAGATATTTGCCTATTGCTCTCTTGTGCGCATTAAACATTGCGTGAGCTACGCGCAACTCTGCACCTGAGTTTAGACTGGGTTAGTTTTGGTCTAATGAAAAATGTATTATAGTTTGTCAAAATAGCAACGCGCCAGCGGTCCGCCTCAGAATGCCTTCCTTTTTACACCAGAACGCCTATGGGCGCACAAATGAGCGCTAATGCATTTGCTATTTAAACAGCGTATCGCAACGCCTCAAAACAACTCTTGCGCCAAGCTTAAACTACCAAAAGACTACTGCGTCACGCCTTGCGCCACACTGCGCCGGGTGTATGATAGGGCCCATGATGTTTTTTAGCCGTATCAAAACAGCATTCATGCACATGGGTAAATCTCACCCACTGGTGGTTTTAAAAATAGAACGATACAACATTGTTGGTTTAGAGGTAAAGCATATATGCAAGTTTCTGCACCAGAACAATAAGATCTTGTATCATTTTCTCTTCAGGTTTCACCTGGCAAGATAAAATCACGACTCTGAGAGGGAAAATGTCCGAAAGGAAGATCTCCTGGTTTGTTGTCACTGCTCTGGATGAGATTGCATGTACGTATAAGCCAACAGTGTGTGTTTTAGGGATCACAACAGGGCCTTTGTTGTTCTCTATGCTTTCTTATTTCCCCCGTTTAATGGTTCTTGTGGGAGATTAGCTTGAGTGTTGATGGTATTAACAATTTTGGATTTGATTGCAGGCTCGTTTTGGAGGACAGACATTAGTGAATTAATTTTTTCACAAATGTAGCAACATTACATGTATATTATATGTTAAATGTTATATATGTTAAATTAGTATTCAATTATACTTATACACTCATTTACTACATTTTGTTATTCTTGTTGCCCTAATTTTTTTTTTAAGTTGAATCAAATTAATCTAATGTGGCAACGTATGTTTTAATTAATCATGTTATTAACTAATTAACATAAAAACATACTTTATGTTGTCATGACTTATTAATCATATAATATTTTGCAGTGAAGTTGATTGTACTAAATTTGTTAATTTCTTATACTATTGTTCAATTTTGCTGACAGAAAGCAAAAATCAATAGAATAAAATGTAAGAAAGGAATACTTTTATTTTTTAAATTAATTTTTTTTTAAAATGTAATCGGTCTTGTTTCTTTAGGGCTTTTTAACCTGCGCGGGTCAGATATCGAGTACAACCCTGTGTTCTTCGCCTACGCCATCATCGGCATGAACAGCATAAGGTAAAACTGCTTTCTTAATTCTTCACTTTATACAAAAAAAAAATAAATCTCTGCCTCTGTATCTTAAAACCTTTTGTCTGTATGTTGTTTTAGATTGTTTGTGGACAGTAAGCGTTTATCGGACCCTGCGATTCGGGAGCACCTGGAACTGGACAGTCCGAGCAAACCGGATCTGAGCGTTCAATGTTTTCCGTACGAGTCCGTTTATACAGAGCTGCAGGCGGTTTGTGCAGCGCTGGAGCCCAAAGACAAGATGTGGATCTGCGACAAAGCCAGCTGCGCACTTACACAAGCTATACCTAAAGTGAGTCGAGATACTGTACATTCACAGTTTCAATTAGGTTTGGTTTTTTGTTCAATGTAGCTTCTCATTTAAAGGGGTCATTGATTATGATTTCACTTTTTAAAGCTTAGCTTGTGTATAATATTACTATTAGAGCATGAAAAACACCTGCAAAGTTATGAGACTCAAAGTTCAGTTCAAAAGAGGGATCATTTCTTTCACTAAATTTATTCCTCTGTAATTGCAAATCATACATCAATCAAAAGCTTATTTTTGTATTTAAATGGTTGCATTTTGCGGCATTTTTTCCTGTCAAAATGTCTTCTGACATTCTGGTTCATCACCAATAGAAATACAGGTTTTTTTTCAAGCTCTGCCTGGTTACCCCATGTGTATGAAGTGCAGTCTACTGTAATCTATACAGTATATCTCTAAAAACTCTGTCATGCATAAAACATACCACGCTTTCTGTTCAGAGAGTTTATCCTCCTGATTGGTCTGCTTCAGAAAAATTGACAGATTGGCTCATTACCTCATGAATTCAAGGTTACAGCTTCCAATTTTTTGACATGTCTAAAAATGACCTGTAAACTCATTTATAAAGGTGATGTATGCACAAAACGGGGTAAAAATGTGCTTATGCAGCGTCCCTTCTTACTTACTTAAAATGATAATATATTTAATACCTATAACATTAACATGACTGTAAGATGTAGCCTTTGCATAACCATAATGCATAACAGATAATATAACATTATATATAAATATATAAATAAAAATAAATAAGTAAATAAATGGGCTTTTTTCCATATTGGACCATTTTCAATAGTGTCCTGTTAGGCAAACACGCTGCATTAACTGCAGCATAAAATGCCACATACTGCAGTGGCCACAAAAACTAAATCCTTTTTCTTTCTTTTATGTCACAAGAATCTTGATTTCCTGATTTTTTTTTTCTGCCAAATTGTTTCTTTAGAGTTTTAAAAACCATTGATGTGTGTGTGTGTGTGTGTGTGTGTGTGTGTGTGTGTGTGTGTGTGTGTGTGTGTGCGTGCGTGCGTGCGTGCGTGCGTGTGTGTATAAAACTTTATGCTATTTGTAATTCTGTTTTGAGGTTTGGTGTGCCTTAAAGGTTTGAAATAACATTTTTCTGTCTATATGTGAGTAAATATAAATACATTATATTAATTTAACAATTGTAAATGTCCAGTCCCACAGATCTGCCATCCCATACACACCCTTATGTCTGGCTAAGGCTGTCAAAAACGCCACCGAGATCCAGGGCATGAAGATGGCACATGTAAGTAAACAAGATTGCAAATATTACAGAAATCATCAACTATTTTGTTTTAAAGATCATAATTTTAATCGCAGATCAAAGATGCTGTGGCGCTGTGTGAACTTTTTGCCTGGCTGGAGAAAGAGGTAATATTATGTATAATTTTATCTACAGGAGATACGCGATTCTGATAAGTGGCTGGTGGAAAATATAAGAGCTTTTTTTTTTGTCATGTATAGATTCCCAAAGGTACGGTTACAGAAATATCAGCTGCAGATAAAGCAGAAGAGTTGCGGAGGTAAGTCAAATGTGCTGCATTTGACATACAAAAAACATTCTGAACAATTAATTTCTGCACACACAGTTTTTTCGTTACACATGTATAGAATTTTATGAAAAAAACTGCAGCATCATAGTAGTGATATTATGGTTTGCACTGAATTTTTAAAGTTACTTCATCCAAAAATGAAAATTCTGTCATTAATTACTCACCCTTATGTTGTTCCAAACCCCTGAAAGTTCTATCATCTTCAGCACACAGATTAAGATATTTTAGATGAAATCCTGAAGCTCTTGGACCCTTCGTAGACAGCAAGGGTTGCAAAAAGTCTTGTGTGCACAAAAGTATTCTCGCAGCTTCATAACATTACAATTGAACTGCTAAACTGTGACACAAGGACTATCTTGAGGATGTTTTTTGGTCTAATCTACTTTCACATTAAAATCCTTTTCTTTTTTTCTGTCCAGTCAGCAGAAAGAGTTTGTTGGACTGAGTTTTCCAACCATTTCTAGTGTGGGGCCAAATGGTGCCATAATACATTACAGGTAATGATCATTCTCTATTTAAACACATATATTAAAAAAAATAAAAAATCACATTTTGTTGTGTAATTTGTTTTTAAAATGCCCGTCTCTTTATGTCCTGTCTTTCAGGCCTCTTCCAGAGACCAACAGGACTCTTTCTCTAAATGAAGTTTATCTTATTGATTCTGGAGCTCAATACACGTAAGCACACACACTTTTTGTGGCTTTTTTATTACATTTGTTTATTTATTGTATCATAATTATCGTATTATTAATCAAATAATTGTATTATATTTTGTTATATTATATTACAATGTAATAATAAAAATAATATGTTTGACTGCATTTATTTGGTTCAAATTACAGTTATTTTTTTAAACACTGTCACAATTTAAAATAATATATTTATACTGTTAAATAATCGATTTCTTACTCCAAATAATGAAAAGTCTCCAAATTCAAAAGTTGAGTTTAGCATTATCACTGCTGTTTTCAGTGTCACAATATCCTGAACAAATAATTCTAATGTGATTAATGCTCAATAAATGTTTTTATTGCCAATGTTTGCCAATGTACCAATGTTTGTTGCCTCAACTGTCAATTAAACAATTCCAAATATATTGCAACTATGTAGTTTAAACAATATATACTGTACTATAAAACTATTATCTTGCTATATACAGAGATGGAACTACAGATGTGACTCGTACGGTACACTTTGGGACTCCCTCTGAATATGAAAAGGTAAATATTCTTTACAAATGCATAAAGATGTACCTTTTTTCATTAAAGGGGACCTATTCTGCCCCTTTTTTTTCAAGATGTAAAATAAGTCTCTAATATCCCTAGAGTGTGTATTTGAAGTTTTACCACATGCATAATGTTTTATAACTCTTTGAAATTACCCATTTTAGGCTTTGATTCGAAATTGTGCCACTTTGGTGAATGTTGCATTAAATTCAAATGAGATTGTGCTCTTTTCAAAACAAGGTTGAACTACAAATGTGTCAGCATATGGCAGATTCAAGAACAAGACTAATGTCCTATGTTAAGGATGGAGAGATGTCACTAATGGGCTGGGCTTTCCCCCTCTTGTGACAAGTGCAATGAGAGAATGTCAATCAAAGTGTTTCTGCAGACATTTTTTACTATTAGAAGCTGATTCTATTTACAGACTTTCACACAACAGTTTAAACCCCTTATAAAAAATATTTTTGCATAATTGTCCCCTTTAAGAAATGTATACTTACTTTACACTCTAAAAACTGAAAGTCAGTCTACCTAAAAATGCTTATACTTTTGTCCTTCAACACTCTGATCTCTGCAGGAATGCTTTACATATGTCCTAAAAGGACACATTGCTGTCAGTGCTGCAGTTTTCCCTAATGGAACTAAAGGTACGCTCTTAAAATATGTAAATGGGGATGGTGAGTTACTGCTCTTTTGTGGTTATTCAAGAATCAGTCAGAAGAATTGTGTTTTCAGATTACCTCTGAAAGTAGTTAAAAGTTAGACAATCTCAAAATGTTTTAGACACCATTTACATCTGTATTTATCATCAAGTTGCCAATATTAATGTCAAGCGTAAACAGTTTAGCCTGTTTAGAGTAAGGTCAAGTGAAATGTTGGGTCTCAGTGGACTGTGGACTTTTGTTCAGGTCACCTGTTGGACTCATTTGCTCGTGCTGCCCTCTGGGACTCTGGGTTGGACTATCTTCATGGTACCGGTCATGGCGTCGGATGTTTTCTTAATGTCCACGAGGGTCCGTGTGGCATCAGCTACAAAACTTTCGCAGATGAACCTCTGGAGGCTGGAATGATTGTCAGCGACGGTACAAAAACACATATTATTCAGTTCATTGTCATGTATTAGAAAGTGAAAGTGAAACTAACACTTTCAACACACTTTTCTGTAATATTCTTTTTAGATGCCATTATTTCACTTCTGCCCCAGATGTTGTTGTTTTGTTTAGGTCTTTGATTTGTTTTGTTCCAGAGCCTGGATACTATGAAGATGGATCCTTTGGTATTCGGCTGGAAAATGTGGTTCTTGTGGTTCCTGCCACAACCAAAGTAACTACTGCATAAAATCACAGCAAATTAATAATTTTACTAATAGTTGTTGCAATACATGCATTGCCTTTCTCATGTGGTTCTTTTCAAAAGTGCACCAGTTGATTTAGTTTTTATATATATTTTTTTTCATGTGATGATTCATTCACACCAATAGGTGTTAGTATTGAGTGCAAGAACAGTGCAAACTTAACTAAAATTATTTAATGCAATGTTCCCAAGTCTAAAAGTTTTACATTTCAGCTTTTATCTTCCTTTCGTTCAGTATAACTACAGAAACAGAGGTAGTCTGACATTCGAACCCCTCACCTTGGTGCCCATCCAGCTGAAGATGATCAACACAGACCTGCTCACACAGAAAGAGGTAAGAGGAGGCTGAGAGAATGGAATGATTACTTTATATAGGCTTCATTTCTATAGTAGATATTTTTGGCCATTTTTGGTTCCATTAGCATGCTAAGCAGACATTCAAACAAAATGCCTTTTTTTATTGTTTCATTGTTTTTCGCATGTGCTTGACAGATGTATGTGACTGTTACATAACACATGGGTGCTGCATTTTTAAGAACCTTGTTGCGTCCGAAATCGCATACCCCCCTACTGTATAGTTAGTACATTACAAACAGTATACTAGTGGAGTAGAATGTCTAAATTTGGGTATTTGGAGAACAATAGGCAAGATGTACCCTGATGATCTACTGCTTCTAGCAAGATTATGTAATGCATGCCCAGTGGCGCCATTTCATAATGCAATCTGAGAGAATTCATGAATGGGTGCAAAGTGACACAACTGATGCAGGTAGTTCCCGTAATAATGACAAATGGCGGATGTAGTACATCCAAATTCTATTCATACTTTATGGAACATACTTTTCTAATGTTCGTGTAATAAATTTAAATTCAAATGAAGCTCCTACTTGAGTACTGGGTGATTTTGGACGTAGTTGCTGTGTTAAAGTAAAGGAATTTACAAGCAGTGTTGCACATCAATGTCAGTTACAGAGCAGTGGACTAATCAGAAGAACTCAGGAGTGGAGCAAGTGTTATGAGCTAATTCAAAGCAAGTTGTCAAAGCATGACAACTATTTTATTGATAGGAAGTGGTTTTAAACACATTCCTGAACACTGCATGTAGCATTTTTAGATGCAAAGACACATTTTTTGTGAATGTTCCCTAACACTATTGTGTTATTAAGCAGTTGTACAATGTATTTATGTATATAAAAAAACTTACAAATATTGTTTGGTTACAAGTGTTTATTAAAAAAAAAATCTAATAATATTTAGGCATGCCTAAATCTTCAGGTACAAAAGTGAACATATGAACATGTAGTGTACTCCATTTGATATAGCCTCTGTGAATATTGCTCCATTGCTTCCATTTATGTTTCCACTCTGTAATAATAGTCTTGCTCTGTTTTGCCACCTTGTGGAAAAACTAATAAGTGCAAAATAAACGTGAGAGCACAGTAATAAACTCAAAATAAATGGATACAAACATACTATGCTGATGAAAAAAATCTGTCATGAACGCAATAAGAATATCCTAACATATCTGTAAAAATCTAAAGATACTTTGGGCTTTTGACTTAAGATAATTTATGCCATAATTCCTTTAAACATGTATAAAATGGCTTCAATTAACACATGGGTTGCTGTAATAATGCAAACTTGTCATCCTGCAGCGTGATTGGGTAAATGACTACCACAGGAAATGCCGGGAGACCATTGGGGCAGAGCTAGAGCGGCAAGGCCGGAAGGAGGCTCGTGATTGGCTGATTCGGGAAACTCAGCCAATTGTCTAAAAGCATTACTTACAGATTATTTTTGACATCATCATAAGAATCACCAGTGATTTCCCCCCTCCCTGGCGTTCTCTCTCAGTCTACTTTTCTGGTGCATATTTCACTTTCTGCTTTTTTTGTAAAGCACGCTCTCAGCTGTTTTATGCTCTAAATAAAAGCTGTGTGAGAAAAGATGTACAGCCTTTGACTTTTGCTTATCTCAGAGACTTGTTTACTTTACTATAACTTCATATATCTCAGTGTTCAAGACCTTGATTCTTCAAGCTGTGAACAAATTATGAATAACTAGTTTGAGGATTAATACAGTGAATGACAAGTAAATTGTATTTATGGTGCTTTTTGGTCACCATTCATGAAAAGTGCAGCGTGAACATTCTGCTAAATGTCTCTTTTTGTGTTCCACGTTAGAAAGAGCATTATGGGAGTTTGGAACAAGATCGTTTCCTAAATACAAACTTTTCATAACTTTCTAGAGCTGCATGTAAAAAATAGGTGGAGCCAATATGATGCCACTGCTGGGGTCATTGGCGTAGTCCTGCAGTGTGAGAGGAGTGTGTGTAGAAACCGTATAAGGAGGGGTTCTGTCTTCCTCGTGTCCCACAGGCAGAGGGTTGGTGTAGATGTAGTGGATCCGTGAGTTGTCTTTTGGGCCCTCCGATCTTCTGAAAAGTGCGAGTGGGTTATGGAAACGGTCGGTTTTCACTGCAGAAGTAACATCCACTGGCTCCTCGGGAAGCTCACAGGACACAGCGCTCTCATAGACACGAGCCCTCTTATACTTCCTATGAAGAACACAAGTTATTAGACGCAATTTCATAATAATAATAATAATAACAACTCCTTACATTTATTTAGAGCTTTTCTGGTCACTCAAAGTGCTTTACACATTTTTAGGGGGAATCTCTTCATCCACCACCAGTGTGCAGCATCCACCTGGATGATGCAACGGCAGCCATATTGTGCCAGACCACACACCACTTCTTTTCAGCAGTCTAGCTTTCCCATGTGGTCTCCCATCCAGGTACTGACTGGGCTCAACCCTGTTTAACTTGAGTAGGCGACCATGTGAGAGTTGCAGAAAGCTAGCGAGCTGGCTTCTAACTATAATATAATCTGGTGTTCCAAAATGATTATTTTTTCCAACACCAAGAGTTGACTTATATCTACAAACATTGTTTAAAAATGAGAAGAGAACCCCCAAGGATATTATTGTGCAGCAGTAGTTATACCATGTGAGAGTTGCAGAGAGCTATAGTTGCCGGCTAATTTGAGATCCAAAAAGTAGGTGTTGAGAATAAGTCCAATACATTTGTGAGAGAATACAATTCTTGGGGGAATATAAATATTTAAATAATATGAATGAAGCAAAAACCCTGGTTAATGTAATGCATTTAAGGAAAGAATGCAAACTTTCTTGAGAGAAAGCAGTATTTTTGTTAAGGGAACATTTTTGGGGGTAAATACAAAAGATTTATAGGCATATTCTGAGTTTCTTGGGAACACAATACATTTGAGAACAGAGCAATTTTTCTAAAGGGAAAACTAATTTAATTGAAGAATGCAATAAAATACTAGCTAGCAAACCTTGTTCTGGAAACAGTACTTTTGGGAGAGACTGCAAACTTTCCCCATGCAGGGTACACACAATTTATTTGGGGATTACAATGTTTTGTTACTTTCTAAAGGAAACACCTCTTGCTAGGAAGAAATAAACAAAAGCAAAAATCCGAGTTGGAAGCAAAATGGTTAAACATTCTGGGTGAAATGCATTTTTTTTTTTTTTTTTTTGAGGAAATTTTTTTTTTTTTTTCAAGTAAATGCAAAGTTTCTTTTAAGAATGCAGTGCTTTTGAGATAGGAACAAAAACTTTCTAGAAGGAACAAAAATACTTTTGCAAAATGAATGCAATGTTTTTTTGGAAAGCACAATATGAAATATTTCTTCTGAACGAAACACATTTTAAAAGTCTGTTAGGTTTTTCTGACTTTACTTCATACCATATAAACACTTTTAATTAAAACGGAAGTTCACATCTTGGAAATTTTTTTTTTTTTTCTACAATGCATTGATACAGTATTATCCATACGTTATAATGCCTAAATACTTCTGATTTTTTTTTTCACTCACCTCCTGTGTCTCAGGTATGAGAAACAACTGATAATTCCTGCCACAGCCAGGATGAACAGAGCTACTGCAGACAGGGTGATGTTGAACATCTTTACTTCTGTGTGAAGAAAGTGAGAATCCTGTGATTTATGGATGAAATTGTGCATAAATAGTGCAAGAGCACATTTATAATCGCTATTATTTTATTTTATTTAATCCACATACAATATTAATTTAAACAGACAGCACAAACACCTTAATGTAAAGTAAATGATAAATCAAAATGGCACTTTTTCTCACCATAGAGAGTAGCTTGTGTTTCTGTGTCGTCTGTCTCGAATGATGCCATTCCGTTAGGAGATGGAGTGATCCCCGTTAGACTCATGTTGTCAATACCATAGGCCAAAAGTGAGCAACAAACTGCTCAGACTAGTAAGAGACAGCCAGAATACTCATTAGTATGAGCCCATGTGACTCAAATGGACTTGTTTCCATGGTAAATGTGCTACCTCACCACCCCGGTGGCCCCCTAACTTCATTCAGCTGACAGTTTGGGGTCTTTAAAGATCCAGGCCACATTCACAACCAAAACAGTGAAACGTTTTTGTGTCAAAGAATCCAGAAAACAAGATTCACTTGGAAACTTGGTGTAAGTATTTGTGCAAAATAAACTCGTTGCGTCTCTTTTTGCAAAGCCTGTTGCAGTCTGATTGGAAAAACACAAAGTCTGTGTTCATTAGTGTTCATGCTTCATTTCATCTGGGACTTTAAAAACAATATTACGCAATTATCTCTGGCTCTCTACATGAGAATGCTTGGAAATAATCCCCTGATGCTCACATATATCCCACATTGTTTACAATTATGTTAGATATTATTTTTGAACAGCCTTCAAAGTTCTTTTCTGAAATAGTTATTTTTTCTATTATTAGACGACCCCAGTGTTCTTTCTATTTATAGAATGAGCAGATTTTTGAAGAGCCTTCAGATGTAAACATCAACTTGGCAACACATTTGTATTTTTAAGACACTGGGAATAGCTAAATCCCGGCTCAAATGGGTCATAATTATCAGTGTCTTAGTATGATGACATACTATGAACCAATCTAATGTCCGCCGCTTATAATAATATAAATATAACCTCTATTCAGGGCGAAGCAGTGGTACAGTAGGTAGTGCTGTCGCCTCACAGCAAGAAGGTCGTTGGGTCGCTGGTTCGAGCCTTGGCGCGTGGGTTTCCTCCGGGTGCTCTGGTTTCCCCCACAGTCCAAAGACATGCAGTACAGGAGAATTGGGTAGGCTTAATTGTCCGTGGTGTATGAGTACAGTATGTGTGTGGATGTTTCCCAGAGATGGGTTGTGGCTGGAAGGGCATTTGCTGCGTAAAAACTTGCTGGATAATTTGGCGGTTCATTCCGCTGTTGCGACCCTTAATAAAGGGACTAAGCTGACTAGAAAATGAATGAATGAATGAATGAATGAATAACTTCTATTCAATGTTCTCTGACTATAACTCATGCTAAATGTAGCCTACTGGCAACCTAAAATGGTTTTTAGACTTATCATGGAAACTACTTGGAAAATGGCAGAAAACATATTTTCGAAGGTCTGCTTGCACAAAATATAACTAATTAGGGACTTTTACCAGTAAACTGATAAAGTTATTTGTCTGTCATCAGTTTGACTTTGTACATTTTATTTAATGTATTACAGAAACCAACCGCTAGATGTCAGTGTTGGCGATCAAGTCAGGCCGTCAAACCATTCTAAGGAGCAAACTTTAAAAACAACGTTTTAGGCTACATAACAATTATAACATAGTATAGACACATACAATATATATTCTGGTATAACTAAGTCAAACGTTATCATTTTTAAATGAAATACTAAATTTGGATGTTTGCTTAGACATTCTTTTTGTTTTTAAAATGATTATTAGTTTTTTTTTAGTGATTTACGCTAAATAAACAATTGGTCAAGTAACACTAGCCTAAATATTTGGAAAACGAGTAAACTGCTCTTCTGTTTGTGTATTTTAACTCAACGACGAGTTTCCCGCGAGGTCTCCTGAAGAGCCAAAGAGAAAACGATAGACTCAAATTCCTGGACCCTTCAGGTTTCATCGGTAACCTTCAGCAGGTGTTTATGAGCGGGAACCGTCTGGAAAGTCTTCCTGCTGGCATCTTCCTTCAACAGAAAGAGCTTGTTTTTCTCGACCCTAGAAACAACACTGAATTTGCCCTCAGGTATGTTGGGTGGACGTTTGTATGCGTTGTTGTCTGGTAATCCATGGCACTGCGACTCTGCTTTTGGCGTAACTTATCTATGGCATTGGCTGCGTTTGCACGGAAAGAGAATTTTTCATGACGATAAAATTATTTGTCAAACACCTGAACACATAAAGGGCAAGAAACATTTCTGAAATTGCTGCCACAGAGCTTGGGATCAAGGAGAACACTAACTTAGTCTATAAGGGAATAATGATTATTAGTGGTTTCACAAAGGGCAGCCCAGGTCTAGGCCTTGTTTAATTATTTAAGCATATTTAATAGACATTATTTAGAAAAAAAAAAAAACATTATCTTTGTGCATCTTGAGAGAAATCTATAAAACTGATGTAGGCTATTTTAAGATATCTCTCAGCAAATTTTAATTTAGACAACTCAAGCATGCACTTTAGTCTTGAACAAGCCTAAAGCTTTGTAAGTGAAACCTGGGGCAAATATTAGATCAGTTTCTACAATATAACAAGTAAAAAAAAAAAAAAGATTAAACATGTAAATAAAAAATAAAAAAATGTTTGAATTATTAGAGAAAACATCTATTGTGTATATTTAGAACAAAATCAGCTAAATCATTTTGTTAGAATAGTTTCAATTAGCATGTTGTACTGACCTCTGCATCATTGGAGTAAGCCAGATTTCCACAAATATTGCATTCTATAGGAAACTAAATAATTTAAAAGCAAGGTATTTTCTGAGAAATATTTCAGGTTGTACTCATTATGGGTATTGTATAAGCTATAGTATTATAAAATGCTAGTTTAGGAAATTAAATGTGAAATAAGTGATCAAATCAAGTTTGGAGGATAGGGACAGTATTAACGTTGTAAAAGAAAATTAATTTAAAGAATGTCTGATTTTGGTCAGCAGAGGGCATTCATCTCTGGTCAATGTCATTTACTGTAATGACACATCCTGTTGAAAAATTGGATTATTTTAAACCTATGAACTATTTTTGAACAAAATTTGTTTATTTTTGGGGTTCCACTGTGATCCTAAAATAGAGCTTAATGTGTAATTCTCTTTTGGTATTTAATTTGGCAAAATATACAGTATTACCCATTAAACGCAGCCTTGGTACAATAATTTGTACTTTTTAAAAAGCCCTGGTTTGGGATTAGGCATGGGCCGGTAAAAGATTAAAAAATAATAATGTTAAATTACTAAAACTACTAGTACTTCACTTAAATAGTATAAAATAGTATAAATAGTAAAATGTAAACCTGACTGAGAAAATAGTCTTGACTGGCTGTTTTTGAACTCTTGTATTTCACAGGATGCACATGCCCATATTGTAGTCAGTTAGTTATGAACTCATGAAAATAAGGATGACAAAAACTACAGACCTGTTCATTAGACCTTGAAGCCTAATATTTCTGCTGCTGTAATGTTAATGTTAACTAACCAAAACAAAGAAAATTAAACTTGATTTTAAATATAACATCATTTAAATAGCTATAACTTGTTGCTAGTTGTATTTTTATTAGTGCTGTCAAATGCTTAATCACATGAAAATTAAGTTTGTATTTACAAAATATATTTTTGTTGAATGTATATATTTAGCATATACATACACACAGAAATGTATATATTTGAGAAAATGTTAATTTATATCTTTATATGAAATATTTATATCTACATCAAATTATAAATACATATAAAAAATGATGTACATGTTATGAAGATGCAAATTTAAATTTTGGGTTTGATTAATTATGATTAATTGCTTGACACAACTGTTTTTGTGTATGTATATGTTCATACTTAAAATGTCATTTAATATTACATTTATAATTTTTATATTTTAAATTTATTATTTACATTCTGTAATTGATAGCATTAAAAGTTCTTTAATACCAGTATTTAAATTCTGAAATAAATATTCAAACGGTTAAATAAAGTCTGTGTTTAATATCACATTACTTATTATTTAATTTAGCTGGGTTGCTGCAATTGAAATGGAGTATTGTTAAATTTCACTGGTATTAATTACTGAAATATATTGTGAATTCTCTTTTCACCACTCTATCTCTCTGTCCACATACAGTAGCTGTGCTGTGCATTCCAACATGAAAAGTACCTTTATTTGGTGATGGAGTTCATGCCAGGTGGAGATCTGGTGACTCTGACCAACAACTATGACATCCCAAAGGAATGGGCTCAATTCTATACGGCAGAAGTGGTGCTGGCACTTGACGCCATCCATTCTCATCCATTCTCATCCATTCAACCTGCTGCTGGACCGCAATGGACACCTCAAACTTGCAGACTTTGGCACATGCATGAAGATGGACTCGGTGTGTGATAAGTGCATTAGAAGTGTCTTTTAAGGGGGTTTGATACTAACAAAAATGTTTCTCTCCTTTTTTTGATAATTTCATTGAAAAATATTTTGCTTAGTGTAATTATGTGCTGATTCCTTGGCTAGTTTAGGCCTGAAGTGGATTAATAGATATGACCACTAGGTGACACCACTACTGTAGGTCACAGCAAGTCTCTTACTCCTTTTCAAAAATGGTAGGCTACTATCTAAATCGGTACTTCATTTAAGTTCTAAGTTGTGTCTTGACAATAATAAAATAGAATAGTGGAAGTGAGAATGAAATTCAGGCTGTTGCATTGACGTTGTTGTCACCTCATGTTAACCTTTCGTCATCAGGCCTCATAGGATAGTAAATGAATTAATTTCACACTTCAGTAATTGATAATTCTGGTACTTTTTGCCTCCTGATTCATTCAATCATTCAATCATTCAGCCCTTCCAGCTGCAACCCAGTACTGGGAAAAACCAATACACACTCCTTTAAACATACACAGTGGCCAATTTGGTTTATTCAATTCATCTGTAATGCATGTCTTTGGACATGGGGAGAAAAAGCAAACTCCACAGAGAAATTCCAACTGGCCCTGCCGGGGCTCGAACCAGCGACCTAGTTACTGTGAGGCGACAGTGCTAATCACTGAGCCACAGTGTTGCCCCTACGTCTTAATTACTAATTCGGATGTACAAGGTCACATGCTGTTTTTCACAAACTTTATATAAGGGAAGTGTGGGATTTTGAATTTATTCTGCTTTGATAAGTTATTCAATGAACATTTATTCAAACAATTTATTCAAAATGGCTGATTAATTTAGAACCGAAGCAATTAGTGACTGTTTTTTGTTGATGATTTATTTAAAACAGATTGAAGTTCAAAACACACACACACACACACACACACACAAACTCTTGCTCTAAGATGCACATTTTGTGCTTCAGCTTTGTTTGGTATTTTCTGTTGATCTGTTGAACAGAACTCACATTATTGTGTTTTAATGGATGTTCAGGAAAGCCTGCTTGTGTTAACTTACTTGTATTATTTCACTAAATCTTACATATTTTATAAACAAAACCCCATAAAGGAATATTTTTAACCCACCTATTTGTCATTGGGACTGCTTTCCAATAGTTTTAAACGTTTCTGGACTCTCAGGACGTGATTTTGTTTGTTTTTCTCAATTGAATAAAGCTCTCTGTAATGCCAGCTCACTATACAATTACAATTTTATTGAAAATTATAAATATCATACACCAGTAGTTGGTGTGTTCACATGTTCTGAACATGACTGAGAATGAGAGAGTTTCTTTTAGATTTTGTAGTGTAGAGATTTACAATTATCACCTCACACATTGCAGCAAATGTGTTTAAACAATCATTAACGTACGTTACAGAAATCCTCCATTCGGTGATGATAGTTGTTAGTGCTGCTATCTTGTGGCTAGATTATACAGTGCAGTCCTTGAATTGAATGAATATGAATTGTGTAAATAATTTAAATTTTAAACATACTTTTATTTCAGCTACATTAACTCAGCCAGTAATGATTATATCCATG